TATATAAAGACCTAAATATGAAAGGTAAAACTGTAAAATAGATATTTAAAAAAATCTAAGTGAGAACCTTTGTGACCTGGGTAGGGAAGAACTTAAACAATAATTCAAAACATAAATGATGAAGCAAAAAGTGGATTTAATTATATCAAAGTTAAGGATTTCTTACAATGAAGGACACCATGACAAACAATATGCAGATGATAAAATGGGCTAAAAAAGTTATAATCTCTAAAGCTGACAACGGATTAAGAAATGCTCAAAAATCAATACGGGCAGACAGCCCCTTAGAAAAATGAGCACACTAGTTACAAAAGAGGCATCCAAAAGGTTAATAAGCATTTAAAGGTATTTTAAACTATTAGCAATCAGTAAATGCAAATTAAAATAATAATAAGGGTTTCTAATTCCCTTTCGCTGCCAACACAAGTTGTTTCCCATAGGTATCTAAACTGGTCATCTGGGAGAACTGTTGACGCTACTCAGTCAAGTCAAATATACTCATACTCTATGATCCAGACATTCTATTCCTAAGTTTATACACCAAATAGATATTCACAGTTCACCCTAGGATTCATTACAGTGTTATTTGTTGTGGCAGGAAGTTGGAGATATTCTGTGATAGCGAATAGATAGTGAATAGATGTGGTAAATGCACACCTTATAAGAGCATTAATTATATAGAAGGCACAGATTAGAGGTACACATAACCACTTGGATGGATCTAAAAGCCTAATGCCTAGGTTAAAAAGATAAGAAACAATGCAATATATTATATAACACAATTTCCATAAATTAAAAACATGCACAGAAAACAATATGTGTTCCATAGAACACAAACAAAAAGATACACATTAAATAAGCCCAATATAGGCCGGGCGCGGTGGCTCACGCCTGTAATCCTAGCTCTTGGGAGGCCGAGGCGGGCGAATTGCTCAAGGTCAGGAGTTCAAAACCAGCCTGAGCAAGAGCGAGACCCCGTCTCTACTATAAATAGAAAGAAATTAATTGGCCAACTGATATATATATAAAAAAAATTAGCCGGGCATGGTGGCGCATGCCTGTAGTCCCAGCTACTCGGGAGGCTGAGGCAGAAGGATCGCTCGAGCCCAGGAGTTTGAGGTTGCTGTGAGCTAGGCTGATGCCACGGCACTCACTCTAGCCTGGACAACAAAGCGAGACTCTGTCTCAAAAAAAAAAAAAAAAGCCCAATATAATGGTTGGTTATGGGATGAGAGGGGAGTGGAAAGTATGATATGGGGATAAAAAGAAAAATGAGTGTAGCAGTGATGATATGCCATAAATTAAGAAATATGACTAGCATAATTTTCTGCACTGAAGATTCAAAAAGAGAGGACAGAGTGCCAAGTACATATGAATAAAACCAATCGACATGTATAAGACATGTATAAAGAATTATAGAACTTTATTGTAAGACATCAAATAAGATCTAAATAAAGAGATAAACCACATTAAGGGGTAGGAAAAGCAATTACTATAAGGTATCAATACTCCCAAAATTGGTTTATACATTTAACATGCTCTCATTTCCCTAATACAACATGGTTTTTCATGCAACTGGACAAGATGATTCTAAAATTCATATAGAAGAGCAAAGGCCCAAAAAGTAGCCAAGGCACTACTACAGCAAAACAAGTTGGAAAAGGGATGTTAAGACTTATTATAAAGCTTTGGTAACTGAGACAAGTATGGTATTGGCATAGGAATAGACAACAGACCAAAATGGAATGGGAGACCTCAGAATTAGACCCACACATGTGGAGATTTAAATATGACAGATTAGCATTATTTAGTGCGGGGGAAATGATTGTTTTTGGTAAGTGATGGTAGAAAAAAACTCCAAAGAAATTGTATCTTTACCTATAATGTAGCAAAAAATAAACCAATAAGAAACAACTATAACAACATAAATTAATTCCCAAGACCTTTAAAACTATTTGAAAAATACATAAAAAAATATCTTTATGATCCTGGGAATAGAGAAGACTTTCTTAAACAAGACAGGTCACACCAGAAAGACCAAGAAATTGAAAAAAAAAAAATTCATTAAAAGATATCATAAAATAAAAAGACCAACCATAAACTTGAAGACAGCTGCCATTCATATAATTAACAGGAAAAGGAGTCACCAGAAAATATTTTTAAAACTCTGAAAAAATAATACAATCAATAGAAAAATGGACAAAATTTATAAACAGGTATTTCGCAGATGAAGAAACTCAGTCCAGTACACATATAAAGCTATGTTCAATACTCATTAGCAATCACAGTAATGGAAATTCAAACCCCAATGAGATAGGATTTATACCTATTAGGCTAGCAAAATCTAAAAGATTGAAAATACCAAATGTTATGGTAGACAAAGCTGGTGATATATCAGCCATTTAGGAAAAGAGTTTGGTTTACTTAATCAGGTTAAAGATGTGTTTTCTTATAACTCAGCAAGTTTCTATTGGCATTTATTCTAGAACTTTTATGTTCCTGAGACATGACAAGAATGTTTATAACAAAAAAATTGGACAACTCAATTGTTTACCAACAAGAGAATGGATAAATTGGGTTGGAGTATGTTCGTGTAACTGAGTGTACTAGTAAAAATAAATGAATATGGCTATGCATATTGAAATGAATGAATTTGAGAAGCATAATATTGAATGACAAAGCAAAGCAAAATATACACATTGCTACCATTGCAGAAGTTCAAAAACAAAAATAAGTATACATATTCATACCTGAACAAAGAAATTATGAATATAAAATTAAGGGGAAGCAGAGTGTAAACAAAGAAGAAATACAGAAGGTGCTTCAATAAGACCGGTAATTGAGGAGTCCAGTGCCTGATTAGAATCCTCATGTGATTGACCACAGGCAATTACAAAAGCTTCACCTGGCAGGACTCACTCATGGGAGAAAGCTGCCTTCCCCACACCAGACTTAGTGCACAGCCAACGCATTACAGTCTCTGAGGGGGGTTGCAGTTAGGTTCTCAGGCTCCCCTGGCTGTAGACACTCTTTCACGTGTTTACATTCCTAGCCCTCATTCCCAGTTACCTTTATCTTCAGGCACTTCTGCCAAAGCCTTCTTACAGGGGCTGGAAGGAGACACCTCATAGGCATTTTTTCCCACTCTGACTCAGTACTTTTCCATTTCTAGCCCTTCTTCCTTGTCATTCCCCCTGACCTCAGGATCCAAAGAACTTGTGGAGCCTTTTGTTTGGGGCTTTCTCAACAGTGAAAGAAACCCCACCTCTGCCTGGCTCCACTTGGCTCTGGAAATGGTGCACCATATCATGAGAGAAATGGAACAGGGACATCAGCATTTCGTTTGGCTTTAGACTCGTGCTTATACTATTACAGTAAGTGATTAAAGACTTTTTCATTTTTGGTTTTTTGAATAGGCTACTCGGGATACCTGACAGCTCAGCTTAGCTCCTGATATATGAAAGAAAGAGATAGCTTGATCTTTCTTAAGTTGAGTGATATAATAATGTTAATTTGAACCTCCTCCATAAACATGTATTAAAAAAATGAAGTTCTGTGGAACAACTATAGGGAAGACGAATAAGACAAAATCACAAAGAACTAGCTGTTTAAACTATAGCTTCTATACTACCTCAGAATACAGAAAGACAAAGGGAATGTAGGGTTATCATGAATGTATTCCATTCTTTTAAAAATTTGGGTATAAGGTTGAAAGTAGGATACAAGGGAATCTTTTTTTTTTTTTCAGCATAATACAAGGGAATCTTTTAAAAACCATAATTCAAATTATAAACTTTCTCTCCTTTGGTATGAAATACTTTAAGACTGGTTTTCTTATATTTGATTTCATATTATTTCTTGGGCTAAATGTGATATATTTAAAGCCTATCTATACCAAATCTCTAGATAATGAATTTTTACAATTACTAACCACTATAAAGTAGTATGTACTTATTTAATGTCCTTCAACTACTTTCTTCATTCAAACCACTGTGCAAAGCTATATTGGTCCTTAAATTACTGTCTTCAAACTTAAGAGAGATTTCATTTACCAATTTATTTTTTGCCTCAACTGCACAGGCTCTGCTTCTCTCTCCTTTGGTCTAGGTCATTGTCATATTGATCTTGTTGATCATCTTACATAGAAGTTCCTCCTGTTCGCCGAAGATCATAGTTCGTCATATCTGAACTTTTCCTACCAGGCCCCATAACATCATAAGTGGTAAATACTAAAGCTGCAGGGTAGCTCAAGCTCTGACAAACCATGATTTTATAAAAGATGAAATTTATGTCCATGTTGTATGGTCATATGGTAACAAATTCTCAAGGCTAAAACAGGTATTAGAGATTGCCTTGCTCTTATTCCTTATATCTATATAGTGTAAGTAGTTATAATTTAGAATGTGCTTTTTACATTAGCTCATTTGATTTTTATAAATATATTAATTAGATGGGACAAATATAGTTATTCTCATTTTATAGAGCAAAACACAGAAACGAGAGATTTCTATGACATCCCTGAAGTCATATTGATACCTACACCTAAACCCCAAATTTGTACTCCTAGACCACTGCACACCTCTGAGCCAAGGCTCTCTAACTTTCTACTTATCCTAAACTGTGGAACAAGTATAAAACATTAAAACTAAATAAATTTAGCTTATGATAATGAATTATTAACAATCTTTATGAAGAGTACTAATGCTTTTGTCAAATCCGATACTTTTGAGATACATTTTCATTATCTACATATTAAACATTATTGATGGCAAGTTAAAGTCAACTTAGTCACTGGTTTATCTCCCATTTGCTTTTATTGTATAGTCTTCATTTTCTTCATCTGTAGCTTTCAGGATAGAGATACTTAGTAAAATCCTTACTTAAGATTGATCAATACAGAAATATGTTTCCACTATCATTTCTAAGCCATGCAGAAACTACCTTTAAGAAGAGACCTTGGACAAAGTTACTAGACTTTTTAAAAATACTAGTTTTCTTACCTCCAAAAAGATGGAATGCCTTTCTGCAGCTTGGTAGAGGCCATTTTGCACAGCTGGATTTATGGAAGCTTTGTTTTATTTTCAAATATTCTTTAGTAAAGAATGTTTTTGTGGCATTGTTCAGCTCTAGAGTAAAGCAAAAGAAAATAGTATTTTTAATGATTAATTTGAGTAAAATGGCAAGAACATGACAAATGATTGCTGCAGTATTTTGATAATAAATTCATATCTCTTTAAATCGGTGAAGACAAAAGTGGATTCAATATTTTTTTTAAATTCAAGCCTATACAACTCCCCCAAATTCACATTTGATGCAATACTGATATGCCTACACATAGAACATACATCTATTGAGTTAACTATTATGTCAGGCACTATGCCATACAAGGAATACACATGAGGCATCATGCCTGCCCTCAAACTGTAGACTAAAAGATGGGAATAAACTAGTAGACAAAAAAGGGGAATAATGTGTTATAGGTGTAGCAAAAGAATAGCTAGAATGCAATCAGGGCTCAGAAGTGATACTTTTTACTTCATAATCTATTATATTCTATTGTATTTTTACATTAGCTCATTGCTACAAATTTGAGAGTTTAAAAAATGTAAAAATTCTTGAACTTTCAGAAGCTTACTAGTGAGTTAAAAAGGAAATATTTACTTGAAGTACACATAGACCTATCAGAGAACACATATGATGATAGTCACTTTAAATAGTAGAAAGTCTCTATATATGAGCCATGGAAAACCAGGATTGAGTTAGACTGTTTAAATGGAGAAGCTCTTCTTAGAGAGGCCCGTGCAGAGTTGGTTACTAACCTGAGAAGTAAACTAGGTTTTCCATCTACTCTTACTTTTATTCCCACAACTATCACCTGTAGCATTTCCTCAGTTTTCATACTACTTCAGGCTTTGAGCTTCAGCTCAAGACAGTTGCATTAAATTTTCTCTATTTTTCCTAATCACTGCCTTGGACTGATTCTTACCTAAGGAATTCAAAGGGAAAATTGATTCACAAAGTTTACAATTAACCACAAAAGGAACAACGTAAGAAACAGATTACTCTAGGCAAGTGATGTTCTATATTAAACCTGCTCCCCTCCAAATTGTGAACCTATGAACCAGTATACAAGTTAGAGAAAAGGTATATTTGTAGTCTCATCATGTATGCTGAGGGTGTGAGGGTTATTATGGCTAGTGCATTTTTTATACCTTACATGTTTAACAGTTAAATCATTTCAGGTTGGATATTCTCACACTGGATTCTATAGTGATGCACAGCTGTTTTATTAAAGTTCACTTTGCCTACTGCCCGAATTGAGTCACAGCTTTCTAAATGCCCTTGTAAATGAGACCCATGTGGTAGGTCAGTGATGATTTCATGTGGGAGATAACACAAACCAAAGAGAAGAGTTTGCGAGTCAATACTTTCTCTCCTTTCACTCCCTTCTTTCCCTCCCCCTCCCCCCTCCTCCTCCTGGAAAACTTGCAGCCATGTTCTAAATTGTTGATATAATAGCTAGAGAATGCACTGTGCTACCCTATCTTATAATGAAAACTTGTTTGCAAATATTGTATTTTAGTACAAAAGATCAAAAGGACACAGTAAGAGTCATCCAATACCTGCAGTTTTGATAACTAGCCACAATCTTTTTATAGGGGGTAGGTGTGAGAAGGAAAAGCAATAATGTCCATGATAGTCTGTTTTCTGGCTTCAAGGAACTTATTACAACAATGAACTTTAAAACTATTTCACAAACTCACATATTAACACACCAAAACAAGAAGAGTTAGGAAATATTTTCCTAACACCCAAGAAAATTATGATCTGAGAAATTACTTTATTAAAATTTGCAAAATGAGGTGGGTCTTATACCTACAACCTATTGTTGAACATCTACACCTGTGTATCCATAACATAATCTTATGAGTCCAATGATTTTGGATGATTTAATTTACTATACTTGATCTGAAAGACCATTGGAGACGAGAGGATTCAGAAGTCCTTTCTCTCTATTGCTGGGCCAAATAAGAAGTGGGTTCTAACACTTCTTAACTTGGGACCTTCCACAAATCACTCAATTTCTCTTTGTACTCACTTTCTGCCCTATCTCCTGCAAATGTTTATTTTGAACCTTCTGTGCCTGGCATTTTGCTGATCTAGCTAGGAATACAGAGATGAATTAAGTGTAATTCCTGCCTTGCAAGGCATTGTACTAGATTAGTGATTCCAACATGCTTGGCTATGCATTAAAATCACTTAGAGTACTTGTTAAAAGGACAAATTCTAGAACCTCACCTAGACATATTAAAGCAGAATTGAATGTGACATAGGAGTCTGTGTTTTCTGATAAGCTCCTTGGGTGATTCTCATTCACAGCTAGATTTGATAACCACTCGATGAAATGATCTTAGGTCCTTTTCTGTTCGAAAAGTATTTAAATGTATTTAAATGTTAAGCATTATCTCACACCACTATAAAACTTACTAACCTTACCCAAGGATGTTGTTCTTTCTATAGATCTGTGTTGCCTCCATTCCAGCAGCATTTGAGTTTACAAATGCAGGATTTGGCAACAAAGAGAATATTCAACAATATATTCCTAAAATTACCTGGAAGAAACATTAAGAAAAATCTAAGGGTAGACCAAAGTGTAGGGCTCTGAGTAAAAGGTGATGATGAAAGCTACCTTTATCCTCTCCTCAGCCAATGTTACCTATTAGGGAGTAGTAGATGCTTCTTATTAAAATACATATTATAATTCATCCGATGTTATCAGTATTTAATACTGATATTAGATATGCTAGAAAATAAATATGCTAGAAAAATGAAAAATAAACTGACTATCCTGGAAAGATCTAAGTGTATTTCCATTATACATTTAGACAAATGTGGTGGCAGTAGCAGTGGAAATAGCAGCATTTTTGTGTGATGCTATCATCAAAACAGTAAATGATTATTAGGATAAAGGAATTCTAGTCGTCTTGATTTGGCTGAGGTCAGGAGCTAAATGCCAACTACATAAAATCATAATTCACATTATTACAGGGTGTATTACCATGAGATTTCATGGTACTATATTGCAAATAATAAAAAAGGACTATCACATGCATGTTGGGATAATTTTGAACTACAGACTGCATCAATAAGGTGGTGCAACTTTGGTTTCAGCTATATGCTTAATGTTGGTAACTTTATATTTAAACAATTCATTATAATTACATAAATAGTTCAGAATACTTTCAAGCATTCTGCTAAGTGCAGGAATTAAAGTTGTGTAATAGGCATAGTACCCCTATTAAGTCCTATTTAGTAACAAGGCAATCCTAAAGTTATGAGGTAAACGTTCGGGTAGGGTTAATTCATGGTACCTTAGAATCTTATTTAGCAAGGGAACATGAAAAGATTATTATTATAAATATAAGGCGCAGTCATTTAAGTGGACCCAATGATATTATGTTCTAATTTAAAAGACTAGGAGGTGTGTATATGGCTATCTCATTCAGATTATTAAAGGCCTTATTTACCCATTTAAAATTATTATTCTGAAAACTTATTTCTCCACAATTCCCTTCTTAGTTCTATGTTTTCTGATACAATATTTCATTTTTTTCCTGGAGATTTAAGGTACAAAAAATCATTTGACAAAAAGGAAAATTGTAACATGTTGTAATAATAATAAAAAGACCACTTCTCCAAGAGTTTTGAATTATATACCTGTACCAGGATGGATCCTGACTTTGAGTAAAGACCCAACTCTCCCAAGTTTCAGTAGGTGCTTGTGTATACTTGTTCACAGGCATTATTTGGTTCAAGGAAATTAATGTACAATAAAGGACATTTGCAGGCAATAGAACAAGATTGGGAATTAGAATACCAGTCAGTGGACATTTGTGTAAAAAGGAGGGAGATCTCCAAAAAAGAAATCTTTATTAGTTGATGCTAAATCCTCGTTACTTAACATAGCTGTGGGTTGAGTAATATCTTACGAGATGATCTTTGGAACTTTTCAATTAGTTTCATCTCACTCTTATCACTTAATATGTTGATTTTACTGTATTTCAATAGTACACACATTAAAATAGTTTTCTTTGTGTTGTTGAACAGCAGCAAGAGTAAGGCTGAGTTAGGATGTGGTGCCAAGGACCTCCTTCTTTTACTCAAGAATGGAGGAGGATTAATACATTTGGCATTTGAACCTGCCTTACTGTGTTTTAATGAAAATCTCAAAACTATCTTCAGGGATTCAGAGGCAGTGCTTACTTTGGACCTCTGAAAAAGGGGCAAGAAAATTCCACTTATAAGGGACCCTAACACTCCTGGTGAAACTCATTTTGTACCCATGTGAGGCACCCAGAAATGCTCATCTATCTATAGGGTGAATAACACAAGTTAGAGAAAAGTTTGGGTCTGCTGTTATAGCTTATATTCAACAGAAAATTATCAGTTTGAATCATAGAAATATGTAATGTAAATGTGTAAGTCTCATACCCAGCTCTTCTGACCTGGCAGGTGATCACCATGTGGTAGCTGCAAAGTCTCTCTGTACACCCCATAGCATTTAGGGGCCAAGAAGAGCTTTGTATGCTGGGAAAGGAGAGGCCAACCAGGAGTATCTCACCCAAAACTGATGAATACTTACCTATATATCTGTTGAGAGTAAATTTGAATCTGATCTTCATACCTTTTCCTAGTGAACTGTTCAAGGTTAAAATCTACTTTGGGAAATCCCACTGTCCAGCTAATATGCAGCCTGATGACAGAGGCATATATAACAGGGACAAAAATAAACAAAAACCACAAATTCTTTACCTGACATTTTCAAAATGAAGTTATTGTTTTTATAATATTTAAGTCATAGAAAGCAAATTATTTTTACTTAAGAGCTCCTATTTTATTAGGTAGATAAGCACTATTTAAAAATGTATCCATTTTAATTCGATAATTACATTTAGTATTTGGCACTATAATATTTGGCACTTATAATTCAATATAATTTTTATATCAGGATAAAGAGTTGTTGCAATCATTTTTTTTAACGCTTTGGTCCAGGAGAAATCTGCTAGTATTATAAGACTTTCTTAGGTTAGAGCCTTTATCCAAGCTTTTTGCCTCAGGCAGTTAT